GTGGGTGCTTTTCAATACTAATACTAAGCCCTTTCTCAGAAACTTTTATTCAAGACTCGTAGACCAAAATCGTTTTCTGTTTCTCTGTGTTGTGCCCTTAAGATGGTCCCAGATAATCAGTCTAATAGGAACTAATATTTTGTAACTTAGATTGTGTGGGTTTGAACTCAGCTAATTTTTAGACATGGTATAGTTAATTACTTTAAATACATAATTTTATGTAGATGATTATTTGGAGGCATACTGCCAGATAATTAAGCCAATTAATGTCGTGTATGGAAAAAATTCTCAAATTTTATTTATTTATTTGATTGGTTGATTGATTTTAGAAACAGAGTCTCACTTTGTCACCCTCGGTAGGTGCCTGGCATCACAGCTCACTGCAAGCTCCAGCTCTTGGGCTTAGGTGATTCTCTTGCCTCCAGTCTCCCAAGTAGCTGGGACTATGGGCGCCTGCCACAACGCCCGGCTATTTAAAAATTCTCAAATTTTAAAGACCCTTTATTCCTGCCCACATTTCCCTGATAGGAGTCTCATTTCTTGTGTTGCTTAGCTTTAGAAGATTTATTTTTGATTTCTTAGAAATAATCTGACAGGTTCACTTGAGTCTCATTAGAAGAGAAATGGGCCTGTGAATACAAGACACACTTAATGAAAAGCATAGGCCCACCCAGCAAAGTAAAAACTGTTACTACAGGACAGATATTTCGTCAAAGGCTGTTATTTTTAAGAATAACTTAATATGTTTATTATTTATGTTGCTACAGAGGGAAATGAATTATTTTCCTTCTGAAAATAACCTTTTTCCCTTTCCTTTTTAGCCTACCCAATTGAGAAGTCATAGTTGGAATGACAACACTTGTCAAAAGTCATTTAATGCTAATAGCATTTGGCATAGGAATTATTGTCCTCGACTGGAGTTGGGTAGTGTTTCAGATGCTACACGATTAAAGGAAAAATCAAACACTATGGGAATTGAGCAGCTGATTAGTACTAAAGGGTTAAATCTTCCAAGGAAGTCGTCCACGGTGAAAAGACCCAGAAGTGGTATGTATTTTATTTTTGCAAAATGCTAGTTAATATTGGTGATATTTAAGAAACATTTGCCAAAGTCAAAGTCACAGAGATTTTCTCTTGTTCTCGTCTAGAAGTTTTGTAGTTTTAATTCTTACATTGAAGCCTATGATTCATTTTGAGTTAATTTTTTTATATATAATGTGATGTATGGCTTAAGGTTCCTTACCTTGTATCTGGCAGTTCAGTTGTTCCAGTACCATTTGTTAAAATGTTTTAACATTTTCTTAAATATTAATGTTAAACATTAACATTTTGTTAATTTGTTTTCTTTTCCCCATTTAATTGCCTTAGCACGTGTGTTGGAAACTGATGACATATGTGTGGGTCTTTTTTCTGAACGTAGTTATTCTGTACCGCTCCTCTCTTTATCCATCTTTACATCAAGTACATTCTTATTACTATAACTTCATAGTATATCTTTAACTCAAGTGGTATAAATCCCCCAAATTTGTTTTCTATTGGAAAGTTATTTTGGCTATTCTATATTCTTCACATTTCCACATACATTTTAGAATTAGCTTGTTAATTTATACGAAAAAAAAAAAATAAAGCTATTGTGATTTAGTTGAATCCATAGATCAGTTTGGGAAAAGTTGGGATCCTACAATATTGAGTTTTCTGATCCATTTATTTTACGCCTTCAGTGCTTTGTACTTTTCAGTATATAAGTCTTACACATCAATTGTCGAATTTATCTGTGTAGCTCAGATTTTTGATGCTTTTGTAAATGGTGTTTTTTTATTTTGATTTTCAGGTCATGGGTAATATATAGAAATACAATTGATTTTGTATATTAACCTTATGTTTTAGGATCTTGATAAAGTCACTCCGGTAACTCTTTTGTAGACTCTGTACGATTTTCTATATAGACAACCATATCACCTATGAATGACAGTCTTATTTCTCCTTTTGCAGTTTAGATGCTTTTTATTTATTTATTTATTTTGCTTGCTTGTTAGTACCTCTAGTACATTGTTGAATAGAAATGCTAAGAGTGGGATAAAAGGGCGGAGAATTTTTTCACCAAAGATGATATTTAGAAGTGGGAGGAATGGGCTCAGCGCCTGTAGCTCAACCGGCTAAGGTGCCAGCCATGTACACCTAAGGTGGCGGGTTCGAATCCCCAGCCCGGACCCGCCAAACAACAATGACGGCTGCAACCAAAAAATAGC